AACAACTGGGTGAGTTCTGGAGCAACAGCAAACTTTGCAGAGTGTGAAACTTCCATGACATAAACTCCAGGCTTATGAAATGCATCTGTTTGCATCATTAATACTGTAGTTGTGAGAAGCTGAGGTGTCACTAATATTCACTTGTCTTCCCTTTACTCTCTTTTGATCACTAACTCTTCAAGTGCTTTACAGTGGAAAGCTCTATGCTGGCTTGAGAAATGCAGCAAACGCTGCAGAGGGTACCATCTCATGATGGTGTGAGAACAGTTAGAGAAATTGGAATAACAAAGACTTATTTTCCTTCTCAGGTGGTCAGGGGCTGGAGAATGTTCACCTGTACATCTGCTAGTTTCTCAAGGGTCATGCAAGCAAGATCTGAATGGAATCAAAGCCGAGTCTCTGTTGGTGTCAGTGAACTATGGATCAGTTGTCAAAGCCTCCGATAGTCTGAGCAAAATCTAGAAGACATTCTCCTAGCTCTGTCAGCTGATGAGAATACAACAGTCTTCTGCATGTGTGGTGAAGCAGTTACCCATGGAGAAGAGACAAGGCTTGAGGGAGCCTTTTATGTTTTGCCAATGCCATGCTGTGAGAGCTGGTGGGGAGGCAAACAAACCCAACATGCTGCTTTGAATCCGGGAAAAAAGGGATCAGGAATAGCTCCTCAGTGCCTGGGATGCTGTTTAGACTGTTTTCAGCATACAAGCATGTGATGATGCTGGACGATTTACATTTTAAATGAAAATGGATCTTGTAATTATCAAAATTTCACTCACAAAGAGAAATTATTGTTCTCCCAGTTGTCTGGGAACAGAGCTGACTTGATTGCTGGGAGTGAACATGGTCTGAAAATAGGCATCTAATAAAAGCTCTTTAATTTCCTCTTTTCTTAAATAGTGCGTATCTGTTTGCTGTGTAGATTAAATTGGATACAACTCCCTCCCTCTGCCCCAAGTTGCTTAGCACCTGGAACTTGCTGGTAGTAGGGTTTAGTCCTTAAATTGTGAAAAGTTTTTCTTCACCTTGCCCCCTTGCAGGCTTCAAGAGGTTTTGTATTCTTGGAGGTTTAACCATAACATTTGTCTTTTCTAAAAAGATGCATATGTATGTGTCCATATGCTGCTTCTGTCTGCTCTGCAAGCTCTCTCTAGAAGTCTTCTCAAACTTCTTCAGTCTGGTTAATAGGAGAGAAAAAAAAAAAAGTTATTATCTGATATCTGATCAGAGACATTGTGAGCTCTGTTGCTGCTGCTGCAACTCGAAGCCTTCATAAAGATGCAGACTAAATCTGTGGCTTCTCCCCAGTGCTGCCTGGTACCTGGGTCATCTTCCCTTGAAAGCCTGTATAATTCCCCAGGGATGTGGAAAGCAGCAGCAGTAGGGCAGCAGGCAACACATCAAAACCACTCATTGTCTCATTTTTCCCACCTTCTTCATTTTGTTCTGCCCTGGTTTTGGTTTGAGACAAAGGCTTCACCTTTCATTACTTCTCCATGTGCCACAGCACTGCTCGCCACGATGGCTTGTAGTACCTAGTAATTTGTGGTGGGGTCCTTATCAGCAAATGCCAGGAGCTGGTCTCTAGAGGAAGGGAAGGATGCTTTACTCTTTGAAGAGCATGTTGTCCTCGGTCTGTGTGGCCATACCTGTTGTTTCCTTAGCATAGATGAAACAACAACCTTCTGTTTTGAATATGCCAATAACTGAACAGTCTCTTGGGTTCAGGAATTCGACTTGGGAGGCCTTCTGCAAAGTATTGACTTTCAGTTGAATTCCAGTTGCTCTTCACAAATTTAGTGGTGTTTCCTAATCTGATGCATCAGTTACAGTCTCCAGTGCAAAGAGAATATGAAAACCTCTGACCTCCTCAGAAACCCAGAACTTGAGGCACTTCGAGTCTGAAAATGTAAAATTTGTTCCACTGCTTAAATCCACTGAAACCAGAGGTTTCCTGAGAATGCTTTTTTCTGTCCCCTGCACTAAAGAAAAATGCCTCATCCTTCTCTTATTTGCACCTGGACCTTAGCTCTAGGCAGGTGGTACCCATAGGGGTGCATTACCTGTGAGTGGGGACAGTGCTGCACCCTGTTCAGTCTTGCCTTTCCACCTGCCAGCACGTGCCTGAGGCTGTGTTGTCCACAGACTCACCCTTCTTCCCATTCCCATCCTGCCCACCCCAGTTTCTACCTTTTCCCTAGCTCCTGTCTCTGTTCGGGTTGAGCACCCTCAACCCAAATGTGCTTTTGACATGGACAGTGGATGAAACCCATTTTGCTGTAACAATGAATCTACTGGAGTGTATAATGTATCTGTGAAGAGACAGGAGAAATATTTACCAAGTTCATTACAGACTTAATGAGCCAAGCTTCAGAGAAGTGGAATAGCAAACATCTCCATTCTCTGGATGCCACAAAGCAAAGCCAGAGCTCTGCAGAGGAACTTACATTTCATTAAACAATTTTATTTTCAAGCCTCACTCAGCATTACTACAATCTTGCTGGCAGCATTTCCTAGGAGCTACTCTAAGAGGAAAGTCTTTCAACTTTGCAGCTGGTTCAACAGTTAAAATTGCTATTGGACTGGCTACAATGCTGTGGCTCAGCAGTTAAGAAGCAGTTTTACATATTGAGGTTCTGGTGGAATATTAACTGGTCCCGACATACAAGAGGCAGATGGTTCCTTTTCTAGGGATGAAGTCAAAACCTGAATGTTATCCAGACTACTGCAGCAAGTTGGTGGTGAAGCATGCTGGAAAACAGTAAGTACCTTGGTGCTCTGAATGCCAAGTTCTTTCCATTCAAGCGGTTTGAGCAGTCTCGTTTCTTGTGTTTTCTTACCACAGCAGCAGCACAATCGATTGCAGAGAAACCACCACAGGAGCAGGTCAACCATTGTGTCAGAAGGTTTCCTCCTTGATCTGAGGGAACATGGTCTTGGCTCTGGTTGCAGAAAAGTTGGGCATAGCACAACAGACTCTGTTCTTGAGAATCTCCAGCTCAGTTTAAATCCTCTGCATTGTGGTGCTCTGGCATGGCTGCAGCCACAGAAGAGTATCACTGGCCTCCTCGTGGCACAGACAGCAGTTAAGGAGAACTGGGAAGCAGGCAGGGCAGACCCTGCTGCAGATGAGCGTGTCCAAGAGCCAGGAGAGAGTGTCCTCAGCTACAGGGAGCAAGGAGAATAGAGGCGCAGAAGAGGCTCTGGCTTTTGACTGGGCAAAATTTCAATCGGCCTTTTTGATCATGTTCCCAATGCTGAAATCCAAGTTGGCTGGTAAAAAATGCCCACCCCTTTTCTGGAATGTGCACCCACATCCACCTCTCTCAAACCAGTGCTTGGGTGGGATGGCACACACGTGGTGTGACTCTAGCCAGTGATGCGGCCCTGGCGAGACTCCTGTTTGGCCCTGTGTCTGCTTGTCCCCCCAGGCATGGCTTGTGCCTAGCGCAGTCTCTGTGCTGATGTGCAGCTCTACCAACTGGTATACAAACACTTTCCTGGGGTGTACCATGGCTCAACAAGTTCTTTTTCTAGGATCTCGCAGCAGCAATGGGGGATGAATCCAGTGAGCATCAAGGCCCATACCTGGGCAGTTGTTTCTGTTTTGTCTTAGAAGTGTGTTGCCTTTATGGGTCTTTGCCCTAAAGAACTTGCAGTATGAGCGATACCTGACTCCATCTGTCACCTGAGGAGTCAGATCCTTTCTTGGTTGTGATCACCTTGTGATCGGCTGCCATCCTGCAATCTAACAACCTAACAACCAGAAGCAACTTTATTCTCTTCCTTATTAAATCTGAGCCCTGGTACTTTGCAAGCTCCCATGTGTTTCCTTGAGTGCTTGTCACTTGGGAAGTTCTTAAAATGGCCCCGTGCCACATAATTCAAGCGAAACAGCGATTTGAAGGTTAATGGAGGAATTTCACATGCGGGATCCTCAAAACGAACATGGTTAGACACATTTCTGCCTTCTGAACAGTCAGCAATGGGTGAGCTTGTCTGAAGGCAGCAGTTTCCCTCCCAGCTCCCATGAGTGACCTTTAAGCACTTAAAACCCAGGTGCGTCTCTGAACCTTACTAGAAGGGTTTCAGCGGCTCTGCTCTGGGGTAGTTGTGGTAGAGTGCTAAGATACATTGCCTGTATCTAGAAACTAAGACTAGCAAGTGGCTTCATTTAGCTAAGCGCTGAGGTGTCGTGTCTAGCTTGACCCTGTATTTCCTTATGGTGTTTTCAGTACTGAAGTTAGGCCATAATTTTTCAAGAAAAACCTTAATTTCTTGCTGAAACTGAAGCCTGAACATCAAGGGGATCTGACAGGGAAACTAAATGTCCATGGCTTGTTTGGTCAGCGAGGCTCTGGCTTGGCAAGAGTCAAGAGCAATGTGGGACCTCTTCTGGCACGTTCCGAATAGCAGAGGTCCCAGGAGCTTCCATGGCAGACGGGGGTGTCCCAAGGGTCTGCCATGTGCCTGGGAGGTTTCTGTTGGGTACTTTGGCCTGCAGAGTGGTGGTGTTGGACAGGTTGGATTCCCATTCCTGGGATTTCCATTCTGTGCTGGGGAATTGTCCCCTCCTCAGGGAACACCAGCTCGTAAATGCTGTCAGTTGCTGCTGAGACACAAAGGTACTGGGTCTGGTGCTAAGGAAAGAGTTGATTTGCCAGCTTTAAATGGATAACTAATGGCTAAGAGTAAACAAAATAACTAGATTCTGCCTTTGGATATAGAGATATCAGGAATTCAGTGTTCCCTTTTAGTTGAAGTCCTGGGAAAAAGACACTGTGGCCCATCTCTTATCAGAGACCTACTGCTAAATGGAGAAAAGCTGTGGCAAATATTTACTCTCAGATCAATTCTGTTTAAAGTGCAATGTTTGTAGCAGAGCTTGGACACAGGAAGGTCAGGTGTAGGATCAAGGCTGCATTTATATAAAGACAGAGGAATATGCACTGGAAATCCTTGCTTAGAGAGGGAAAAGACCAGAAGATTTTGAAATGCACGCTATGAGGATCTTAATTTTTGTCCTCACACTGAGTTTTTTCTCGTGTTTGGGTAAGTTGCTCAGGATGGAGCCACGTCCTCTTTCTTACAGTAGTTTAGGGAGGAAAAAAGTACAAGACCACAATGAACTTCTAACGGAACTGTGCCTCCATCTCAGGGTTTCCGGTGTACGACTATGAACTCCCTGTCACAGAAGAGGCTCTCAATGCTTCCATTGCAAGGATCAATTCTCAGTCATGGGGGACAAACCTCTATGGTGTTGTCAGGAGCCATGTCACAAGAGTAAGTGTGCAGACAGTGGAGATCCTTTACCTCAAATATGCTTTGCTGTGATGCTTTTTCACCCAACCCTGAAAGCCCAGATTTACTTGGAATTTTCTGATGCTGCTTGGAAGAGGGTGGGTTTGGGGCAATATCTGAAGTTATGGCTTTAGGAACCTAAATATTCTTTGTTTGTTGGTTTGTAATTAAAAATAATTTAGGAATTAAAATTTTCCACCCCTAGAATAGAAATCTTTGAGGGATGTCTTGTGAGGTTGTATTCAAAACTGGCGTTTTAAAATACCTCCACTTAACTGCTTTGCTTTGGGCATAAAGTAATCTGGTTCATCTGAAGGTCTCAGCTGAATGTCTGCACTGCTAAATAAATGCCACCACAAACACATTCAGGATTCTTTCTCCAACCTGTATTTATGTCATCTGACTCTGTACACCAGTTCTGGTTTAACTCTGCTAGTGTACAATGCAGGCAGGAAACCCATAGCTGTTTTAATTTGTATTGCTAAGAATTATGTTGGATAGCTAGAGTTAAGGAGTTAAAGCTTCCTATTTTAAAGTTAGTGTATCCGTGTTCCTGAACACCCTCAGAACCAATCTGTTTCTATAGATGGGATATATCAAGTCTTCTGCAAGAATGAATGATGAATTTTTTTTTTCATTGATCTACTTTGGGAAAAAAAAAAAAAAAAAAAGTACTTGAAAGCAGTGGGGATTTGTTGTTTGTTGGGGTTTTTTGGGGGGTTGTTTTGGGGTTTTTTGTGTGTCCCATCTTGAGCTAAAACATTGATTAGACTGTGAGAAGGAGAAAAGAAAATCCTAATGTGTCAATAAAAGCAACCAAACTCTCTAAAACTTGCAGTGTTGCATGGATGCTGCCCATCGAAGCACCTGAGCTGACAAGGAACAACTCTATAAGCTGCATTAATTCAATTGCTTGCAGTTGTGTGATTTACTTTCCAAGACATGTATTTGCAATAGACTTCCTAGCAGTCTAAATATCCAAAGCAGAGCTTTTAGCACCCTGGTTCCCACAGAAGAGGGGGTAGCATGCAGGGGTAATGCTATGCTTATCTGCCTTTGACAGCTATAGTTCCCCCTCAACTGTCTCTGAGCAGCAGGAGGATCCTGCAATGGCTGTGACGTTTCAAGTTAAATCCCCGTGGAAAGATGTTGCCATTACCAGGTCTGCCTGAGAATAACTTCTGAGCACAATGAAGTAGCTGTTCCCTCGCACAATAGTCTGCTCTAAATTGGGCACTGACCCATAATGCCCTTACATCTTGCTTCTGCTTAACAAAGAAGCAAGGGTGCCATGTAGTGGGCATAGAAGAATGACAGACACTAATTATATGTTGTGTTGCCCTTCCTTTTACCAGGTTGACATGTGGAACAGCGATGCCTATAGACTAGAGCTGCAGCTCAGCATTCGTGAAACTGTGTGCCCAAAAGCTTCGGGAAGAGACCCGTTCACATGTGACTTCAAAATTGGGCCTTTCGTGGTAAGTGAAGCCCCCCCTTCCCTGCACGATGCTCTCAGGACATGTTGAAATGCTACTGGGGCTGAAGAATGAAGAATAAGTGGCTTTATGAAAACAAAACCAAATCCAAATACAACCTGTAGCATGAAGTGGGTGTTAGATGGGAAGGGTCAGTGCTGGTAAACTCTTCTGCCTGGTCAGTGGGGAGCACAGGAACCGCTGTGAGCTGAAAAGAGGATGCGTGTTTTGCAGCAGCATGTAGCGAAAGTGTCTGTGTGCTTTGGGATCAAATCCTGAAAGGAAGTTATGGCTTCTTTTTTAAGATAAGAGGGTAGAAAAACTGTCATTTGACCTGCTTTTGTCTGTCATGCAACTAGGCACCATATAAAGGCTTATCTTCTTATGTAGTGCAGATTCCCACTCTGTGCTGACAGTGCTAATCTTTTTCAGATTTTCAATTATCTTTTCAGCCTGAAATAAACACGGATCAGGCTCTTGATATAGCTCTTGCTGTGCTATGATTCTTAGATGACTAGCTTTGGTGTAAATACATCATCTTGGAATCTGGAATTCTCTGTGCACAGTTATTTTTGCCAAAACATGGCTCCCATTGCAAGCTTCTGAGTGTTGTATCCTAACTGCTTACACAGATCTTACAAAGCATGTGGAGTAGCTCTTGCCTCCCTGTGTGCAATGATGCCATAGTGTGTGTCAGACTTCTACAGAGTGTCTGCTTCTTTGTGCTGCTCCTAGCTGAGCTCTTCTCACCTCTTTTTCCTTTGTGAATGGCTGCCAAACCTCTTTGTCCTTCCTGGGCCCAGTCTTTAGGGAAGAGGAGGGATTCTGGGAAGGCACCAAACAGATGGCACAAAGGCTTTCCTCGGAGCTTGTGAGCCCTGCTACTACCTCAGGAGGTGGCTTGCACCTTGAAGAGGGGGATAAACATCTCTTTGAGTATCACTACTCTTGAACTGAGCAGCTTGTGTGTGTGTGTAGATGGGACAGTATGGAACTGATGAGTGTTGTTGCGAAGTTATCACTGTATCCCAAGCAGACACCATCTCTTTTTCTTCTTGGGGCAATACAGTATGAAAGATAGTGTGAGGATCTCTGTTTTCCAAACTTGGGTGGTAGGTTTTACTGGAGCTTCTGTCAAATCATAGAGACAACTTCTTTAAAGGTAGTTTAACTTCCAGAGCTGCAACTGCCGTCAGCATAGCCCTGTGCAGCTTTTCTTTGTGACTGGTGATGCCAGAGCCATGAAAAGGATTTTGAGATTTTCGTCTACGTTGAGCAGGCTCAAAGGTTTATACAGCTAATATGCAATAAGTTGCATATTGGCAAGTGGAGCAATGACTTGTGTGTAGTCATATGCTGCCAGAATATATTCATCTGGCCGCAGTATGCTCCAATAATTTGCTAGGTGTATAATCTTGCTTGAGTTTCTTCCTTTTGGAATTGTTTTTAAAATCCCTGTACAGGTTCCCACACCCAATGAAAATCCCTTGAGAGGGTTTGTACTGTAGCTCTGCTGTACAAGATTTGCTCTATTTTGATCCTTTACAGCCAACCACTTTCTGCAGAAGTGTTGTGGAAGTTTCCGGTGAGCTGATATCAAACATTATTGTGCAGTGCCATCATGGCATATCCAGTTCCGAATCGATGAGCAGCGAGGAGGTAAGGAATGGGAAAACTGACATTTGCAGCCTGGGGGAGCGAAAATTCTGCTCATCCTCTCTTAAGAAGTCAGGTGTGAACTGCAACTCCTGTTGCAGTTGGAGATTTTGATCAGAGAACTGAATGTGGTTTGAAATCCAGCTGTCTCCTATAATGCTTCACTTTCCATCAGCAGAGAGGTTTGACCTTGCTTGATGGATGCCTGGGGAGAGTGTGAATCCCTGCGGCAGTCTGGCACATCCACCATCTCCGACATTCTTTCTTCATTGACGTGTAGAGGATGTGCCTGAAGAAGAGTGATTGGCACATCTTACAGACAGAAACAAATACTGATGGCTCTGGCTCTGTTACCAAACCCAGCTCTCAGCTGAGCATGTAATCACAGTGTAGCTGCAGAACATTTGCTCTGGCTGAGATTTGTGTTCCCTTTTTGAGCTCTTACTTGGTTTTTAAGGTGTAATTAAAGGCCGACCCAACCTGTGAATTCCTGCTAGCTGTCTTCAGATCACACCAGTGTCCACTTTTTCTATGAACCAGCACCTGAACCTGGGTGCCTGCACTTACAGCACAGATCTACAGTGGATGTTGTGCTTGAGGATTATACGTAGGGAATAAAGATAGTTTCACAAGCAAAGGTGCCAGAGGATATGGACAGCTTTTATTTTTTGAGAGTGCAAGTGACTAAATAAATACCTTTAAGCAAACAGGATTCTGTCACCTTCTCTTGGTTTGTATTGCCAAATTAACTTGTAATTATTTTTTTTTTTTTTTTTCAGAATCTCTAGTCAGAGCTAGCTAGTGAATGCACCACAGGAATTCTTGATTTGCAGGGCAGAAAGACTGCGTGTGAAGTACTGAAATATGTAACGTAGTCTTGGATGATCAGTCTGTCCTCTGTGGGTTAAACATAACTCTTGTTTAATAGGGCACTCAGTATAAACACTTGCTTTTACAAGCAGACATCTTCCTACAAGTCTTCTTTAACCATCACTTACAATTCAGTACTGCTGCCAATATTCCTGCTGGGGAATATATTTCCTACGATGTTAATAAGGAATAAATGCCAAAGGGAATTATTGTACATGAAAAGGAAAATATATCTTTCTGCAGAGGGCTGCAGCAAGTGCGCCATAGCTCTTGCTCTAGAGCTGTAACTCAGTTCAAGGGATTTCAGCCTGGCTGAGATGGTGTGGTGTAGCTCCCATAGTGCTGGTGGCTATTTGGTTAGGGCAAGGAATTGTGATTGTCTGAGGCTGGGATGTTGGATAGAGACCAACAAAGAAAGAGTGTGGAGAGCTTTTGAAAGAGTAATTTGGGATAAATGAGTCAAAGAGATGCCCTGTGTGACTGCAACACTAACTCTGCTCTCCAGGCTCTTCTCTCCTGGCTGTATCTGCACTACAGGAAGGTCAGGTAAGGTATTAAGTACAAAAGATATTGACCTGAGAGCCTACCTGCAACCGCAGACTTCCTTAGCAACATCACTGCTTTGCAATAGTATCAGCATTAATCTTGTTTTCAGAGAAATTTATAATGAAGTTTGGAATTTCTTCAGTGATCACATAGGAAATGAAGGAGAGGCAGACTTCTTGACAGATGAGCTTTTTAAGGAAATTTCTTTGATTTACAGATGATGCGTATGCCGATAACGAATCCTAACAGGCGAGGCAACAGTCGCAGAGCAGGTAAGCCTTTTCTGCCATGCTGGACTGTCCTGGCACATGTTTGCCTTTTGGATCATCCGTTTGGACCACCTGAAAGTCATCTGTCTGGGGGAGAAGAAAATATGGAAGACCAGCAGTTTGCTCAGGTCGTGGCCAACTGCTTTTTCATTTGCAGAGGGGTGTCTCACTGAGGAAGCAGTGAGGGCATTAGGCTGCAGCGTAGGGCAGTGCTGAGGTTTGTATACTCTGTGTACACATTTTCGGGATTGCCGGATTAGTGCTCTCATAACCAATGCTTGTGTGCATCCTCGGGGTTGTCTTGATGTTGTGCAGAATGCTGAATGAACATGTTTGAAAGCATATAACACTCACGTCTGTCTCCGTGTTCTTTTTTTTAGAAGATGTATTTGCTCCTGAAGCCTTCCCTTCAAGAGGAAGAGGCAGCAGCCGTGGAGACTGGCATAAACCCAGCTATTTCAGCTCTGACAAGATTGAATAATATGATTTGGGTGAGTACAATTCAAAGTGTAGCTTTCATACACCCTAGGTCTGCAGGTTTTGTGGCAGGGTGGGAAAGTGACTGCTCAGGGTAAAGGACCTCTTTGGGAATGTGGTTCTTGGCTGCAAGCGTGTTAAAAGCCATTTTACTCTAGACACTTGTAGGACTTGCTTATAGGGAAATTCAGTGACACAAACACCACTAGCAGCACCATTGATAGATGCTGATGGGGTGGCAGTCTGTGAGCTCACAGAACAGGGGTCTGACCAGTTGTCAAGGCAGCGGAAGACATTTTTGATTTTCCTCTTGTTGCTTCACTCCCAGGAAGACTGCAAAGCTCATGGCTTTCGCTCAGTCTTGAGTAGTCCATCCCATATAGTCATGCAAACACCAGTGTCCTGGTGTGCAGGTAGTGTGAATAGCGTGAAAGAAAATCAATCCACTGGACTGAGTTTAGCATAGGGCTCAAGCCTGGAGCTACAGTTCTGCCTTTTTGCCTCCATCTCTCTTGGCTGACAGAGACATGTTTCTGTCTGATGTTTTATGGATACTTTGGACCTTATCCAAACTGTTTGCCCTTAGCATGGATGTATCACTTGGCTGTGGGGGTCTGGAATGTGCCCTGGCTGTGTATGGCAGACACAGATGAGTTGTCAGGTGTCCCTATCCTTCAGCAAGTCATCTTTGTGCTGGTGCTCTCCCCACACCCATGGCTTGTTGTGTCTATTTATACTGCAGACAATTTGAGGAATGGCCATGTCTTTGTGCCAAATCTAATGCAACAGGTCCTCAAGGGCACACTGTTCAGCAAACAAAAAATGAACGTGGTAGTAAGGTATCCAGGAGAACCGAGATGCAGTTTACCCAGAGGAAATGTTTGTTGCAGAGAAGCTGTGAAGGAGATGCTTGGAGCCCAGTTGATGGGGATGATAATGAAAGGCACTTGTGATTCATTGGAGCTTGCAAGGCCTATCCTACACAAACCGCCTTTGCTGACTTACTTCTGAGGCTCTATGTGGGAGTAGCTCTAATTGTTGCTGATGTTTTACCTGCCGTCTTACAGAGTTAAGCTAAAGGGAAGTGGTTCTCAAAGACTTTTAGCAACACAGAATGGAGATCATTCTTTGGCATGCTAAACAGTTTTAAAGTAGTTGGGAAAGGAAGAGGAAATTACTTAGCACTATGTCTTTGTGATTAACAAGGTTTTGCACACTCGCTTGGGTACATATCATTAGCAGGTCTCTGTCCCTGCAGACAGTGCCAGAACTGAGTGCTCCATGTGTGTGGAGCTCAGTTCAGGCCTGCTGCATTGGAAACAAGACAGTTTTAGATGTAATTTAGCACTGATGACTCACCAAAAACTAACACATGTTACTCATAAGCATATCCGTGGTAAACCTAGATGTGCTGAAGGAGACATATCCTCTACTCTCCTAGAAACTAGATATGAAAGGAAAACCCAGTCATTCTGCTAGGTCAGGTCTTCATTTGTAAAAATGATTTCATTAAATCCATATGCTATTTTAGTTCATCCATGAGCCAGTAAAGGTGATAGGCTGTTTTAATCACTGCCTTTCCTCTTATAGGAATCTCTAATTTTTCTAAATGTCTTTGAATTTCCTTGAGCATATTGCAGTGGCATTCTGATGTGCACTCTGTGTCCTTCTGGGTACCTTTAATCCAAGGAGATGGTGTGGAAAGACTGAGGCTTACTGAAGAGTAGCATAAGGTTGACTTTCTGTTCCAGAGAGGGATGAATTCTATAACTGCCAGACCATTGCTGGCTTCTGAGAACCAAACTGTCTCAGTCTGACTGGGTGAATTGGGGTTGAACCTTCTTCAACCGATCTTCCAGAAAAGTAGTGGGGAAGGAGATCTACGTGCTTGAAATGGGGACACATCCTTTTCTTTGTGTTTGGAAAATGCTAGGGATTTTAAAATTAATTCTTTGGCTCTCAAGAGGAGCTATCCTCATTAAGCAGTAATCACAAATGGTTTGTGTTCCTGTATCTAATGTCTGACAAATCTCTGAACAAGAAGCGAGCTGTAAAATCTTGAAAGAGAACATGAAACAAATGGGGAGAAATTTATGGTTCTTGTAATCGTGTGCAATTCGAGTGTTAATACTTTCTGCTTGCTCTTGAATATGGGTTGCAAGTGTCATTTATGGAGCTGTGTTTCATAGCAGTGTCCTAGGTTTTTGGACATCTCAGAGGCAGATACATCAGGATATTAAGGGAGAATTTCAAAACCCCTCAAAACTCCTTGTTTCTCTTCTTTTATTGATTTGACTTAGCTTTAAAGTCTGGAGAGACTTCTTACTTTTCAATTTCACTTGTATCCAGAATTAAAGGATTTCATCCATGGGTTTAATTTGGAGCCACATGTATCCAAATTATTTCACACGAGGCCAGGGAAAGTTATTTATGGCTTTTTATCCTGTGCTTTGGCACGTGTGTAATCATGGCTGTCATTATTACAAGCCACGCTGTGATGGCAGTGTTTGGTGGGGCATGGGATATATGGGTCGTGTTTTGAGATGGCAGTAGCTCAGCTGCCTTAGCGTAGCTGAGAATATTTTGGGGGAGGCTGGACAAAAAGCAATTTAATAATAGAAGACTTTCATCTCTTACTCAAAGATACTGTTGTTGACAGACAAAACTAGACAAGTTCAGGTAAGAAATGAAATGTGATTTGTTTTTTTACGCAACAGTATGGATAACTGACTGCTGCTAAAATTAGTAACGCAAGTGGCTAACAGAGCTCTTCATGCTGGATTTTACATTTTCTGAACTAGATCTTCTCTGTTTGGCTACAGCAATTATTTCAGGGGAATCCTCTAGATCAAGAAGCTAGGCTAGATGATCTCACTGGCACTTTGTGTCTCTTTATTTATTAGAATGAGCTAAATATTCAAGAGAAAAAAATCACTGCAATTGTTATATAAAGAAGAACTTTTTCAAGTCTGCAGCCTTCAGACCCACTGGTCTGCTGGTGCCTGCAGGAGTTAGCAAATTGCGTATGAAAGAACCACATCAATGATTAATGAGCTTGCTTCGGTGACAAGTCCTAATCAGATTTTCTGGATTTATTTCCTAGTGCATCTCTGGAACTGGGGAGATTGTAAAATTCACATGTCATGCTGTGGACCATTTTATCCCAACATATAGCTGAGCACATAAGTGAGTGACAGCAGGAGAGCCAGCTGCTGTACAACAGTTGATCACTGGTTAGCCTGCAACAAGTGTTAAGGTCATTAGTTAGCTTGGCCTGCCAGGTATGTGCAGAGCTTGTTGGAGCTGTGACAGCTGCCCCAGTGTCCATAAATGGCTTGTGAGTGATGCAGCCAATCCCCTGTTAAACCCCTTGGGGACGAGGGGCTCTTACTCTGAAAGGATGCTGTTTAGCATGCACACAACATGAAAAGCTCTCTGTATGTGCACAGGTATAAGGAATTATGGCTTCCATTAAGCTGGAATCTGCTTAATGGTGTTTGTGGCTCTGAATTGCAAAGAGGAGCCTAAAAAATGGCTCAAACTCGGTAACACCTTGAACCCCAGAAAGAAAAAGAAAAGGGCCCCAACGCTCTGCTCTTCCAAAATCAACTGCCTAAAGCGTTTGTGTTTTGGTTTGTTGGTTGGTTTTTGGTTTTTTTTTGTACAGGGTGGAGTCCAGCCTATGACTTATGTCTGGAGTCTCACCAGCAATGTTTCATTTCCTTGAACAATAAAATTAAGAAGAAAGCTCCTGCCTTTGCTTGCAATATACATGTAGATTGTGAATGCTGATTTTCTCTTACTGTCATTAATCACACAAGGAAAGTAGATTTTAACTGACAATCGAATTCCTTCTGTATCAAGCCAAGGGGCTGTGATTTCCTCCTCGAGTTTTCTGCATTTTTCTTAAAATGACTCTCTGGCAGAGTTCTCACCTGGCATAGCTCACTGCTGGTGGGAATGTGGTGACGGCAGTTGTTACAAGCTGATTAACAGCCCTGCAGAAGCAGCGTTTTTTTCCAGTCAAAGAATAACTGGCAATGTTGGGCCTCTTCTCCTACCCAGGAAATTCAGGATATGGTGTAGCTGAGAACAGTCAGTGTAAGGTTAATGGTTGGACTAGATGAACTACAAGGTCTTTTCCAACCTACATGATTCTGTGATTCAGAGTGAAATGGATTGCTTGTTTCTCTGTCTTCTATAAAATAATAATGGAGCAGGGTGCATAAGCCTCCTGGGGCATGGCAAGAAGAGCTTTTATTCCCAGTGTCCTCATTAAGAAGCTGCTTGATTCTAGTTCCAGTTTTGTATTCTCATGGCTTCATATATTCTGTCTTTATTTTTTCCTCTCTGTTCACCCACCCCAGTTTCTACAGTTCTCAGAAAGCAGCTTATTGCTTTCTGGAGAAAACAGTGAATCTTCAGAGGGAAGGAAAATCCCTGCAGAATGGGATCTGTTGCATAGTGCATGAGGCCCGTATCAGATCAGCTTTGAGAGTGAGAGCTAGAGCAATTTATTGCTTAGGCAACGTGGAGGAAATGACAGGCTACCCTTAAATTGCTCCTGCCTTGGAGTCAGTCTGTGATAGCTCAGTCCTTGGTGTCACCTGGCATCAGTGATATGCTGTACAGAGAAGACAGCATGCTTCCATCTGTTCAGAGCTGAAGGACTGAAATTGAAACAGACCCAGGCAGGACCTTTGCTGATGCTCAGGTTAGACCGTGGTGCGGGGATGAGGCAGAGGTGTTACAGCAGAGAGGAGAATTGCTGACAATCTCTTGTTGCTATTCTGAATGGCCGTGATTTTTACCTTGTCCTTTGTCCACCTCTTCTGGATCTGTTTTGAAGGATTAGACCCACTCCTGCACTGAGGAAGTTGTTCCTGCTTCTGGAGGACACAGAGCTTGGATGATTCCTTAGAGTTCACTGTGTCTTCAAGGCCTCATTGCAAGCCCCTTAATCTAATTCCTGGAGAAAACCAACAGGACTTCACCAGAGGAGCAGAAAGGGCTCTCAGCTGTCTTACAGCGTACTGCTCAATGTTGCATTTTGCAAGCACTAGAAATGAGCTTGTCAAAGAAATGTGCAGGTTGGGAAGGACCTCTGGAAGCCCAGCCCTGGCTCAAAGCAAGGTCAGGTTCATGAGGCTGTGTAGGTCTGAATATCCCAGGATATAGATCTCTTGTCCTGGCTGGGTGCCAGATTCAGTGTCAGAGAACTCTTGGGGGAAGATTATTCCTTAAGCTGACCTGGAATTTCTCATGTTCTCACTTGTTCCTGTTTCTTCTTTGTCACTTGGTCCCTGATGATGAATGTAGCGGCTGCTTCTGGTTCTTTGGCCTGCAGCCCCCATCTCCAGGGCTGGGCAGGACCCAGGCGCTCCTGGACAAGCTTCTCCCAGTGGGTCACTGTATCTATCACTACCACATGTGTGGACACTCCTTTCTGGCACAAATCTCTCTCTAAAATTTTACTAACGAAATTGGCTTACAGAAAAATTTCAGGTTGCCATGGTGACAAACTTGCTGAAGATAAGAGTGTAGGCTACAGACTGCTGTAGAACTCGTCATATGTTCCTTAGAAAAACATATCTCAAATTTCTTCTGCATATTGTAGCTCTTAGTTCAGATACATTACTCAGAAGGCCATACATCAGCTTATAGCCTCAACCATCTCTGCTTTTGAGACTTTACAATATGTGTAGATATGTGGCTTATTTCACTGTTGTTAATTTTTCTAGCAGTCTGGTGGTTTTGGTTTTGTTTTTTTTTTCTTTTACACTAGTTAGCAATTGACATGACATTTGTGCACATGTGAAGTGTGTTGCATATGCAGGTTTCTTTTTGCAGATTTCTCATGGTGTGATTCTGATGCTAAACAAATTAATAAGCAACTCAGTGAAGCTGAATAAATTTTTTCCAATCCATGGATGTTAGGTTAGTTCTGTGAAATATGAGATAAATTTTGGGCTATGACATTTCTCTCCCCTCCCTTTTTTTAAAGTAGATTGGAGAATGAGGAGCATCGAGATTCAAAGATCCAGCATGGGAAGAAGGAACCTGGTGCCATTTCCTTTCCTCTTTTTGTGAAAAACATTTCTGTAATGAAGTGACAGTCTTTCCCTAAACTCACTTTCTGCTGTAATGTCAAAGGGCCATTGGATGAGCTCATGAGATGCTAAATGCACACGCTTGATAACCACCTTCTGATGTGTTAGAGCTCACTGGGAGGACTCTCAGACACCTAGCCTAACTGTGTCGAGTATGTGTTGTACAATCTCATAATGATGTTATTAAAGGATCATTATTCCATCTGCTCTGCATTGCTCTCTAGTTGCTTGTAATTTTCTGTAATGCTAATTATTGATTCATTCAAACCAATAAAGGCACTTAATTCCTTTTTCTCTGTGGTGGGACAGCTGTGGACAAGGTGTCTTGCTACAGATCCAGAGCTTGAGTTTTAGCCCAGCAATCTAGCTTTAATGGGTGCTTGACCACTAATGGGGGGAGCTGAGGGAAACTAATGACAGTGATGTTCAGGTCCTAATGACTTTCTGTTTCTCTCCTGGGATACAGGTCTTTTCAGCCTTGTCCCTTTCTCTCCACTTCATGCAACAGAGCCTCCACACCGCCCTTTGGGAAGGGAAATGTTACTGTGCAGTTCTGGGGTTTGCTTCTTCGTTTTTGAAGGCTTTCCCACCAAGTTTGTTCTTTGGTTATGGTTATGGTGTAGGCTGGTATTAGGGGTGTCCTTCTATGCATCCCTCATTCACCTAGTGCAGATGTGACCCCACTGGACATATATGAGTTATCTGTAAACAGGCAATAGAAGCTGCTCGTATAGAAGCTGTCATGTACATAGTGAAGGTTCTGAAGAGGTGTTTTGTATGTAGCTGGGATAACAGCAAAGCTTCACCCATATGCTGGGTTGGTCGTGCTGGTGCCTGGATCAGCAGGATTATAAGGACTAAGCAGCCCTGTGGTGTGGGGAGTGTCTCCTGACTGAGCTGCAGACCCTTCAGACTGCACTTGTTGAGTCAACCTGCTTGGGTGATTTGATTCCCTGCATGTTACATGATGCTGAGATCCCAGTAAAACAGGCTTCCTCTTACTGAGCACTGTGAAGCATGGCTTTCCACTGCTGCTGGCTGCAATGAAAAGAAACCAGGTGAGGAACTTGCAATTCTGGAACCAAATGTGGTTTTCTCCCTGTCTTTCTCTATGTTTTTCTTTCCTCGTTTACAGCTCCATTTTTCTGGTACGGGGTGGGAAGAGTACTCTGGGGGAAGTGCCTGTTGCCTGATCACTAGAGATCCAGATAGGTGTTTTTTACCATGCTTATGATGGATTTGTGCCAAACTGGATCAAAATAACAGGTGAAATTTCCGTGGCAGAAACAAATTAGTTGAATGCTTGTCAGTATTCAACAGTGCCATTTAGTGCTGAAGAAGTCTTTAAAACCTGCAGATATAACAAAGCTGTCCTCTTTAGGAAGACATGTCAGCTGGGTTTTAAGATGTGCTTCCCTGTTCACTCCCACCACACCACGCACTGGCTTGCTTTGCAGTTGTGCTCCTGACTCCCTAGTACTCGGCTGTCTTTCTCGGTAAGTGGCGGTCATGGGAGCTGCAGAATTGATTGTTGGCTCCTTATCAGTTATGCAACCATCCCGCCTTTCAAAATCAACTGACTTTTCTCTCTAAAGCAACTCTCCCACCCAGGTTGAGTCTCAGTTAATTTTCCTTACTGATTGCAGCAAGGTAATCTGTTTTGTAGTCAGAGGAGCCTTTGATGATTACCCTTAGCAGCAGCAGGGAGAAGAAGGGGGTGAAAGGTAAGGTGTGGAGTAGAGGTCCAGCAGAGGAAGGGCTGTTTTCCTTACTCATGGTGGTTTTGCTTTGCCTCTGTCAACAGGACTGGGAACATCACCCCTTCATTTGTTGTGCATGTACATCTCCAGAGTCCTCACATAATCTGTTTCTCTGCTGCAGTGGAGTAATTTTTGCTCAGCATCCTCCTTCTAATAAGGGTGTCTTCACACTTTCATGCTGATTTTAAGTAGAACCATGACTCTCCATTTAAAAGCTGATGGGAACAAACAGCTTAGCTCCTTTCAGAAATTCCTGAGCTCGAGTGATTGTGGCCTTTCTCTTCTCATGTAGACATGTATGTCTTCCTAGACAAAGGCACGAGTGAGCAGAAGGAATTCCTGGGATGTTCCTCTAAAACCTGACTTTGTCTCCTGGAAAGGATGATGTGGATTGACACATGAGCCTACTTCAGCTGTGCTTGGACTCTTCCCTATTTCACTCTTTTTCCCAGTTCACAGCAGACAGTTCTCTTGGCCTAAAAGCAGTCATATTTTGCTGATAGAGCATAGCAGCAGGCCTCTGCATCAGCAAACTAGGCAGGGAGCATGTTTGCTACAAAATCCTTGTATCGTGGCTCTGAATGTCAGGGAAAAGAGACAGAAGAGACTACTGAGTTTGGTAGTGGATCTTTCAAGACCTGGAATAGAAAACTTGTCTTTGAGCTAAGGGTAGGCTAGCCGATGCTGGAATGATGAACAGAGCCCATCCCTAGCTCTTTCAGGTGCAGTGTGTTTGGGGAAATAACCATCTGTAAGCAAACAATAGTGGAGCACAACTTTCCTTCAGGAAGCTACTTTCAGCATCATTAATTTACCGTATCTGCCCTCTGCAGACAGAATTTCAGTGGCAGGGATCTGTCCCTGCAGGGATTTCCATCACTCATGGTCTACACTGCCAGTACATTGTCCTGGCAGTGTGTGGACATTCAGATTATTATACGTTCATGATTATTGTCTGAGCTAAGAAGTCTTACTACTGTTAAAGAATGAAAACCAAGGTTGCCTCTGACCTCCAGATGTGACCGTTGTATAGAAAAGGTCTTCTACTCTCTTAGCATTGCTAACACAGGTGTCCCACAAGCAAAAATTTCTCAGAAAGCAGAACTTCGCAGTCATGTCCCTTGGGAATGAGGGCAGGAGTCTGTCTGCAGGCACCACTGTAGCGCATGTGTGGGCTGTAACATCTCCTTTTGATAGATGTAATGAAAGGCCAGCCCTCTCCAATATACGTGACACACCTATATGCTAATCATATCCACCATTCTGTAAAAAAAAAAGCAAAGAAAGCACTTTTTTTTTCCCAGCAAAATGGATTACAGGTGCTTTAAGTTCCTTGTTGCATGTATGCAAATACCTTCACACCTAGAAGCTGATGTGGCATCTGCTGTGCAGATGTTTATCTGGCACTGGGGAGTAGTATTTTTCTTTGTCTGCATTACTCAAGTCTTTCGTGGTCTCAAATTGCTGACTCAAGCACTTATTGCTCCAACATACCAATGATAGTTGCTACGAATGTTCCCTTCCAACTCCCATGTCTGAGAGTTTGGTCTAAAACACCACAACCACGTCCAAGAACAAATCTCTCCTCACTGTGACTAAAGCCTGAAATCCTACTGGGGTCCTGGTTCTGTTTGTGTTCAGCCACGTCCTCACACTTGTGGACTCCCATCCTCCAAGTACACTGGTGGGCTCCAAAACTGCCTCCCTCAGCGGCCGCAGGCTCAAATGGAGAACTTTATTATCAAGCCGGTTTTGCACTCCTGCACCAAGAAATATTTTGACTTGTCCATTCACATGCTACATTTTCCATGGCCACCCTGCCCAAGCTATTACAGTAGCTTTGCTACGTGAGAACCTATGTTGTACGAGGGACATCAGCATTCTGTGTTTAGCACAGAAAGGAGGAATGCTGCAAACAGATGCAGAGTGGAGTACACCGAGGAGGAGGCAGGCTCTGTCTAAGTGGACCACTAGTTTTGTTGTTGGGTTTTGCTTGGAGAGTGAAGATTTATGCAGCAGCAGGGACAGGGAGGGAGCTTTCCCCACACCGCTTAGAGATGCTATTTGCAGTGGAAGGAACATGCAGAGTAGACATTCTCTTCTTGTAGACTTTGAGGTTGTTCAGAAACTCTTGAGATAGCAAAACCAGGAGCTATTTCTGAAGGGAGACATCAAAACTATGGCATATTAGATTGGGGCTTGCTCCATACAGGGGCTCCGTGGCACTTTGTTTGAGCCTTGCCTTACCAGAAGGTAAAAACATAGTCACCCTCTCAAGGCAGATCATCTGAAGTAGTTGTAGTATGAGGAAAGAAGTGAGGACTTATGCTGATTTGGACTCATGCTATAATTTGGGGAATGAGTAGGAGCTACCTGCTGCAGCTGGGGCAGTGTCAGGAGATCCTCCACACAGTGAGCGTGTCTTATACCCCCAGCACTTCACTTTGTCCCTATGGAAGGAGGGAAACTGTGAGGTTTTTACTCTATGAAAAGACAGCAAAACCTGCATTCATGACAAGATCAGTTATTTTATATGCATGTTCCCTTTTATTTTCTGTACACCCCAACAATGTTTTTGCTGACAGTGTCTGAACAGGAATTCCCATGGTGTGGTATGGATGAAGGACAAATGATACAGTGGTGTTGCAGAAAAACTGGGTTCAGTTCTCTTCTTGCCCTTCAGCCAACACTTGAGGAAAACCAGTGGTATTTGGGCTCCCAGTTGCCACGGCATTTCATTTCTCAGACTGTCTCTTTGCCATCGTGCCACAGATGCTCAGTGATAATTGCTGCATATAGTGCTTGACACTGGTATGGTTTGTGCCACCATGGCAAGTGTGCTGGTGTGTTGGTAGCCCCAGAGCAATTCTGTTCATTTTGGGTAGCTGGGAATGGGTAGAATTACCAGCAACCAAGAGGGGTTCAGTGCTATGTGAAACTAGTCTAAAAAAGTTTCTCAAAGGGCAGAGATCATCTTGAGTGAAAGCTGAAGGGAGCCTAGCCCATGTTAGGAAGAAAGTTATTGCTCATCCTGAAGGAATGTGGAGATTTCCTGGCATACACTCTACTGTCAGCAACCTAATCTCAGGTGGGTGACAAACTGGCCTGACCCCTGGATGATCTCTCTGAAGTGAAGAATAGGCCTTAATTGCCAAGCCTGTGTCCTGATTCAGAATAGTGAGATGCTGGGATCAGAACCTGAGGATTTTCCAGTCTTGACTCCATAGAATGCTCAACTGTCAGTATGTCTGCGAGTTCAGCACGGAGGCATGGGCCGGTTAAAGGAGACACAGCTGTGCTATGGATGTAGCACATCTCTCATGGCAGAGTTAGTAGCTAATGCTGAGCATCAGCATTCCTGCCAAGACTGTGAGCATGGCTGGCCACTTCCCGCCAGTGGTGATGCCCACTAGGTGTCAGAATTGAATAAATGCAAGGCTGGCACAGGAGGGACAGGATCCTGCTTTTCAAATAATTCTGAT